AACAACGAAATCTTCCTACCAACCTAGTCCATATAGCGGTATTGGAACAACAAAGCCTTCTTATCAGCCTGGTCCTTATAGCGATTTTGGAACGACAAAACCTACTTACCAATCTGGCGTTTATGGTGGAACAACAAAGCCTTCCTATGAGCATAAACCTTACAAAGGCCCAGACGAAACAAAACCTCCATCGGATTGTCAAAGCGGATCTCGAGGTTGTGAAAGTAGGAACGGATGTGGCAGTCAGACAAATGGAAAATCACCAGATTCTTGTGGTCAACCTGGTGTCTCCGTAGACATTAGTAAGATATCTGGGCCAATAGTAGGCTCTGACGCGTATTCAAATGATTTTTCTCAAAGCTCTCAAAAAAACCTTCCTGGGGCGAGTAGTCAACCATTTAACGGATCTCCTATTGGAGGTGGTAGTAGTCCATATAATTGCGTAAGTGGAACTAGTTGCGTTTCTGGGCCAGGAAGTCCATCGTATGTTCCTAACAAATTTGATAAAACAAATAAGATTGTGGAAGGAGAAGGATCGTATCCATCAAATCCATTTCTAACTGGGAAGATTCCTATCCCTGAAATTGGTAATGAAAACAAAAATTAAGCTACTTTTTGATTCCATTTACAAAAGAATTGTATTAACAATTTAAATTTTAGGCGGACCAATCGTAACAAGTACCAGTAAACCGATCGGTCATGGAAATCCTTTTCTGCAAGGAAACATTGGTGCCATCTCAGGAGCTTGGAGTCATTCCATCGGTGGAGCAGTAGCGCATCCTAGCGGCGGTAATAAAAATGTCGTTTCGACCGAAGAAGAATCAACTAGACCAATAGGCAAAGACAATCCCTTCCTCCATGGATCAGGATCTGCACGAGGAGATATAGGAATCAATGACAAAACAGCAGGAGAATCTGATTCATTGATTCCAGCCATCGATCGAACTTATGCCGGACCAGGACAAACGAGTGGAAGTCCTGTCAGCCATTATCCTGAATTGACCAATGACGGAAGCTCATCAGCCACGAAAAATCCACTTGGGACAAATCGCGGCTCGGGAAGCGGAGGAGGTATTGGAATTGGTTCGACAGGATTTGGAAACCTTGCTGGATCTTTTGCTAACTCGCAAGCTTCTAGTTATGCCAATTCCGGCTCTTATTCTGGCTCTGGAGGTACGTGTTTGGAGATTGCTCGAATAATCTTATTATTCAATTATGACATTCTTATCGAAGCAAAAAGATACATAAAACATTCGTTACATTAACGAGATTCCGATTTCTTGAAAGTAAACGGAAAATACATGTTGGATTATAAAAGGTTAAAGGTTAGTAACTTTAAATAAAGATTAATACAATGAACGTGAAAGCAATGGGAAAGAGTTTCAAGATCTAGGAAACATTTGATCTTCAGTCAGGTTGATCGATGATAAAACATAAATCAGTGACATGATTTGTTAATTAATAGCAATTGAATCTCATCATTTACTTTTTTCTCTTTACACGACGTTGTGTAATTCCATAACATTCATAATATAATACAGTTATCGTATGCTTTTTGTGATTATCATATCTTTCATGATATTTAATGTGTCAATATTTACAAATGTTCGTTTCGAAATTTGTAAATATTCTACATTACATATCTCCATGTTTCAGCACCGTCTTTTGGACAGGCGAGCAGTGGAAGTTGGGCTTCTAGCGGAGCGAATGCAGCTTCCTGGTCCTCCAGCAGTGCTTCCGCTTATGCAAGCAGTAACGCTGGCAGTAAGTTTTTTAAATCATATTCGTGACATACGTCACGTATTTGTATACGTGTAAAGAATAGATTTCCTTGAAAGATAAAACGCTGTTTTAGGTTGGTTAGGGGGACAACCAAGTCATGTGAAAGGATAATCGACGAAAAAAGATGACATTGCCAAGTGTTGAAAATAAATTTCAATCATTTTCACATTACGAAAAAGATCCTTTTATTTTGTCTCATTTGCACATTTTTGTTTGTAATTTATTTTAGTTTATGATACAATATTGTATGAAAAAAGAAATCGCTATTTTTTACATCTATAATCCTACACGCGCGTATCTTGATAATTGATCCGAGAATTACTGCCAATTCCTCGAAATGATTGATCACTATTCTGAGATTATTATCAAGCGATATTTCGATAGATAATAATGCAATTGATGAATAGGATATACTGTTATAAACGGATTTGATGTATTATCGTTAAAAAAATACAAATCAATAAAAAGCATTATACATCATTGCTATATTGATTATTTTGAGTCGAACAATGAATAATAAAATTGCCAGAAGACCTGTTGTTGTTATTACCTGTTATTAAATACATTTAAGAACATCATGTTGATGTTTAAATTTAACATTGGTATAGAAATAATCATTCGAAGAATAATTTCTTTTTTCATTTTCAGTATTTTAAAGTGTCATTTAAATTAATAAGAAAATAAAAGTATAGAGAATTAATATGATGAAATGAAGTAAATTTGACAAATAGTTAAACAAACCGATGATGCATACTTTAAATGTGAAAAGTAGCTCTAATGAATTTAAATATAACATCATGGAAATGCCAGTTATATCATCGATACATGCCGGAGATAACCGCTTACATATCGTGTGTCAGTTTATGAATTATTTATTACATTGGTAAGAGAATCTCTAAATAAATATATCATCATTCCAATCGGTTCGAATGGATAATTTTATCGAACGAATCATCACAAACATGAGATACATTATTATTGAAAATAATGCGTAATACTTTTACCTTGAAATTGATTCAAAAAATATGATAATAAAAAATGATGTGAATTATTCACTTGGCCACATAAGCGCCCATATATTGGCTTAGAACATTGTTTTTGAATAAAATGAGAGGTAAGGTGATTGAAAAGGTGTTGATAAAAATTAAATAGATTTGAATTATAAAAATATTCCTCTTCGTTTATTGTTTACAGATTAAATGTTTATTCGAACTGCACAATGTTAAGTTGCAAAATCTTGAAAAAAGAAGAGATTTCTGGCGCCAAGTGACGCATTTTATCATGAATATAATAACATGCATTGTAAATTGTAAACAATAACAAAAAATAATCCATTAGATCTCTGCCAACTCTTCTAGAAATTCATATAAATTCTTTCTTCCTAACTACCTAAATTTCTTTAAAATAGATTAAATTTTGCTTTCGATTCAGAATATCGACTTGAATTTTTTTTCAGACCGCTTAAGCAATTTTTCCAGCAGATACTTTGTACGATCCCTTTCCAGTAGAATCGATATTGGCTGCACTGCTGCTATAAACGCCTTTGGCTTTGTCCACGCTACCGCTCTTACTAACTCCCTCGTCGATATTGCCCATGCGGTTGAAGAGACTAATTCGACAAATATAACATATAATCGTTAATTATTTTTTTTTTCAAAAAAATTATCAAATTCTATATTT